AGGTGGGACCTGGTGACCATCTATAAACTCACTAGGGGGGACCAGAATGGTTTGGGAGAGACCTTGTTTCCCCTAGCGCCCCCTGGCATAACAAGGAATAACGGCCACAAGCTGTTGGAGAGTAGGTTCAGACTAGACATCAGGAGGTGCTACTTCACAGTCAGGGCGGCTAGGATCTGGAACCAGCTTCCAAGGGAAGTGGTGCTGGCTCCTACCCTGGGGGTCTTTAAGAAGAGGCTTGATGCCTACCTGGCGGGAGTCATCTGAGCCCAGTTTTTCTCCCGCCCAGGCGGGGGGTCGGATTTGAAGCTCTACAAGGTCCCTTCCAACCCAGCTTCTATGATTCTATGATGATTCTATGATCTAAGGCCCTAATTCAGCAAATCACTTAAGCACATTCTTAATATGTTAATAGGGAATGGGATGTATTCACATGTTTGACATCAAGCATTTGCTTACATGCTTTGCTTGATTGGGACAATTGTATATAATAAGGATCAAGAAAAAATATATTTTTAATTGAATCATACAATACCCATACATATGAGTCAGGCTTCTGTTAAAACTCTTTACTATATCAGCTCTTATTTCAGCTTGATAGAATAAAAGACACTTCTTTTTCTTTCCAAGTCCCACTAGAACCTTTTGGTCCCTTCTAAAAATCATAACTAGCAATAAAAGGATATCACTGCAATATTACTGATAGCTAAGAATTAACAGGGAGGATTTTTGTGGGGAGCTGATATATTTTATGGATCAACTGCATGGGTGGAATAAAGTTAGACAAGCTTTTGAATGCAATGCATTCTTCATTAGGAATAATTCTGGCAACAGAATTTAGCACATGTTATAAGTGTAGCATTCAGCCAATGGTAATTCCATTGGATGTTTATCTGATGGAGCTGGAGTTATGGCAAGGTACTGTTCCCACTCAGGAAATTAAGTAATATAAGTAGACAAGATCTTCCAGTTATTAGGTTAAGTTCAGTATTGCCAAACCAGAGCTGTTAACCTTTTCTCAGTCACTGTCAACATCACCTCTTTCCCAGTAATTCCTGCCTGTAACACAGGTATCATCTTTGACTTGGCTCACTCTCTCAATCCTCACTGTATGTAAATCTTGCTGAATCTTTTTCCCCAACTTATTTAAGGGTATAGCTGTACTGCAAGGTGTCCTTATCTTTTGGCATGCGGTCTGTGAGCTAAAGGCAAGCAAACCACCCACATCTTCAACCAGCCACAATGTTTTGTTGAATACACCTCCAACTGCAGTAATCCACATTCTCCCTGTACACACAAGTACTCACTTGATGTATTAGGATTCATGGAGGTTCCCTAGCACTATATAGAATGAGTTTCTCTTGGTTCTAAGGTGCACTGTGAGACAACTTGTCTTTCCTCACCAGCCCCAGGGATGGAAGTTATTTTAGTTCTCCATAGCCTGTGATTTTGCTAGCCATAAACAACAATCAGGTTTTTACAACTGTACCAATGAGCAGAATCCTGAATTTGTTGCATGAATGACTTTTGACTATGGCACACTGGGCACATCTATACATGCATTAAGGTGCATTGAGGGCATGGCTGTACACATGCACACCTTTAATATGACTTTAAAATATGATTTTAGGCTATTGACTCCTAAATTTGATACTTGCAAAAGCAGGTATCACATTTAGGTGCAAATAGCTAAAGTGCCTTAACACACATGTAGACACACTAAGGCACATTAACACTGTGTATCTCGACAGACTTGGGACTAACTTGAGTTCCTGGCCAGCCCCAGGCTATGCAGGGAAGTCTGCATGTGCAGCCTGTGGCTGGCTGGGAACTGTCCCAATCAGGAGAAGATCCCAGCCAGCTCCAGACACAGCAGGCAACTGTCACCATGCAAAGCAGCTCCCAGGCCCTGCTCCACAACTGCAATTGTGATCATGGAGTTGGGGCTGGGGAGCTGGTTTCCAGCCTGTTCCCAGCATCAGTTCCATGATCACGGAGTGGGGGCTGGGAACAAGCTCCCAGCCCCCACTCCATGATCACGATCAGGGGGTGGGGTCTGAAAGTTCCCTGCTGTGGGGGCAGAGGGACATTGTCCACACCCAGGAATGCAAGGTGGGGACTGGGGAGCTTGTTCCCCACCCAGCTCTGTAAGCGCAGAGCTCAGAGGGAACAGGCTAGGGAGCTTGTCCCCCCTCCCCCCTCCAGCTCCAAGCCCCCACCAGCCCTGGGAGATCCTAAAAGATAAGGATCTCCCAGCACCAGCCCTGCAGTCATGGAGCCAGCACTAGGAGATAAAGGTCTCCTACCTGTCTGCTCCCCGATCACAATCTTGGTGCGGGGGGCCTGGAGCTCCCTGCTTCAGGGGCAGAGGGACATACTCCCCACCCAGGCTCCTGTGGTAAAGACCACCCTGGCACCTCCTGGGGGGCAAGAAGCAATCTCCTGCCCCATGGTGGATGGCTGACCAGAACCAGATTTTGCTCCCAGTCAAGTGTCTATGTGAGCACTAAGGTGTCCTTTCTAAGGCCAAGTAAATTTCCTACTTGCATTTGCAGGTAGCAAATTTACTCAATATTAGGGAGGTTTACTGCAAAGTAAGCACGTGCACGTGCATATGCTTACTCCACAGTAAACTATGCTAATGTGAAGTTAAGGAATCTTATGTAGGTGTGCCCACTGTTTATGATTACACTGAAAAGCTTTTCAGACATTACAAAAACACATATGAGAGCAAGATGAGGAGGAAGTATGTAAGACAGATTTGGAAGACAGGATGAACATGAGACAGGCATTTTGTTCCCATGTATAGACTGATATTTGGGGAGCAGAAGACTTACCATGGGATCAAATGGTTTTCCAGATATGAAATGACAGCAGTGGTCCCAAAATTTCCATATGAAGGGGGCAAGACTTACTTATATAAAGTAACTTACACAATTTTCTGGCATACTAATTACACAACTGTAGTGATTTGGTAGGAAGGAAGGGTCAGGAAAGAATTTTACCCCATGTTCATATTGGTATGGACTGTGCGGGGGGGTTTGTCTTCCTCTATAGCAGGGGTGCATGGCTCTCTTCCTATGATCTCTTGAGCATATATTAATAACCTTTACAGTAGCAGGATATTAGCCACAGTGATCCTGCCTTGCCTGTAGCAGATTAGGGTGTTTTGTCTTGTCTTGTCTTGTCTTGTGTCAGGGTTGACTGTGTATGTATGTATGTACATACACACACACACACACATCCATAGTTCTCGCCATGAGGGAGCAAGCAAATATATTAATCACAAGCAAGTTACTCTAATTCTAGTCCTGAAGGGCTTGATGGATCACTGGGGCAGGAGTATAAAAAAGTAGGGACCCCAGGAGGTCCTCTAGTCCAGTCCCCTGCTCAAACCTGGATCAATCATTCCTGACTATCTTGAAAATTTCCAGGGTAGAGATTCTACCTAACTTCTCTAGGTAGTCTGTTTCAATACTTGACCATCATCATACTCCAAAAATCCCTCCTAATCTCCAAGCTAAATTTCCCCATCTCCTGTTTGACTCCTGTTTGACACTCCTAGTCCTGTCCCCACAGAGAAAATATTATCTCCATCCTATTTATAATCATCCTTCAACTATTTTGACACTGATATCAAATCCCGCTGAGTCTTCTCTTCTCCAGACCAAGTAACATGAGTTCTTTAGCCTGCCCTCATTAAATCTTCCCTCCCAGGCCTCTAATCATTTTTGTTGCTCTCTGCTGGACCCTTTCCAATCTGCTCACATCTTTCCTAAAGCGTGGAGCTCAAAACTGGACACAGCACTACAGATGAGGCATTACTAGTGCTGAACAAAATGGAGGAATCATTTCCTTTGATTTCCAAGAGACACTTTTAATACAACCCAGTATGCTGTTACCTTTTTTTTTTTTCCCAACAGAAGTAATATTCAACCTATGGCTCATATTCACCCTTAAGTCCACTGTAACCAAGAGGTTCTTCTCTGCAGTACTGCAGCCTAACCAAATATTCTCCAGTCTGTATTTGTGCAATTAATTGCCCCAAGTGCAGGACTCTGCACTTGCCTTTCATCTGATTCTCACATTAGGACTAATTTGAGAGGCACTGGTAAAGTGCAGGAAATTTTAAGAATATTTGGAATTTACATGCTAGGGCAATCTGGGACCTAAATTCCTCACAATTACATGAAAGATCCTTTTCAACCAACTTTCAACCTACTTTTTTTTTTTTTGGTCACATCTCTTCTGCCTTGGCTTTTGAAGTCTTCCCCAGACAACATGGTGCTGCACAGAAAATTAAGTTATTCTCCTTGTAGCTGCAGAAAGATGATGGAGTGCACCTTTGGAGGGCTGAAAGTAAAACGATTGTGCCTCCAACAATCATTTGTATACCAAATCAAATATTGTACATAGAATTGCAGCCTGCTATGCCCTGTACAAGATCTGTGGTGCTAGAGGCAAATATTTTTGGTTGGGGGCTGGGGGGGGGCCAGACACTGATGTACAATCATGCAACACCCCCATACCCAGTACTGGCCCAGAGACAACCAAGCTAAGGGAA